GTTCTTTCTTAAATGTTTTGGAAAATGCAGATCACATTGCATTGATTATAGAACTTCTGGGGAAAATACCTCGCAAGCTCATTCTGGCAGGAAAATATTCTAAGGAGTTTTTCACCAAAAAAGGTAAAGCCAATCTTTTTTTTTCCCCCCCTAGCAGTGTTCGAATACATAGTACTGGAACTTCATAGTAATTGTAGGTAGGCCCCAGTAAAGCAGTATCCTGAAATCGTCGTCTTCCTGGAACGCTAAGGATCATCTCAAAGTAAAGATGCATTGATATACATGTGTTCTTATCTAGCAACTGAGAACGTACTAGTGCTCCACATCCAATATAGACTGACTAAACAGATTGCAGAGGATTGTTGTAAAGAGCTCCTTGAATGATCTTTTGGCGTTAAACAGCTGGTGTTTATCAAATGATGGCTGTAATTTGTTTCTCAATTTCTTCATGTATACAGCTCTGGTGTACCTATCTAAATCTATCTGGAGAAGTAGTTTCCTGCAGTAATAAAAATTGAAAGATGCTGTTTCAAACCTTAAAGGTTATTCTTCTGTAGATTTAAAAAGATATACAGTCTTGTTTGGGAAAGTGATAACTCTGCAGAGAAAGATGGCAGGAAACTGGCGGAGTTGTATTACAGCCAGGCCCAAAATCTCTTATGATTGCTTATGGTATAATAAGGGTCTTTTAAACGCTCTAGAGTAAAATACATTAGTTTTATCTGAGCAGGAGCAAGAAGAGTGAAGGTTTCCTGTGCCATTGGATTTACCGGCCTGAACAGGAGATATCTGGCTGCTATTTGTAGAGCCTCTTTTCTCAGCCAGAGTCTGAGTACCTGAGTTTGTTGCGTTATATCGTAAAGTTATAGTAAGTAATCAAGTTGTGTCCAAGCCTTTGGGCAGAAGTAGGAAGAGAAGACACAAGACTTTCTTGGAAACACTCTTTTTAAGGCCAGTTTACAAGAGCAGATTTAAAGGGTGAAATTTTGAGACAAAACGGTTGAGATTCTCCTGTCCAAGACAACATTGTCCAGATCTCTCCCCTGTTTGATTTAGACGAACATCTGCCATTGGTGACTTAATCTGTCTGTCTTGGTTTTCAGGTGATCTGAAGCACATCACCAAACTGAAGCCCTGGGGCCTTTTTGAAGTCCTTGTGGAGAAATATGAGTGGCCTCAAGATGAGGCAGCTGCATTCACAGACTTCTTATTACCTATGTTGGAGCTGGTTCCGGAGAAACGGGCCACAGCAGGAGAGTGTCTCAGGCACCCTTGGCTTAACTCCTAGAGGCTTCAACACAGTACCACAGCCCTACTCTCTGGTTTACAGCGTAGCATACATACATCCAGCTGCCCCTTCCTAGATCCATTTTTTTCATGTTCATTTTCAGTGTGAAGCTCTTCCTTAAAGGCTTCCAAGATTTTAGATAAATCTAACCTGTTCAATTGAATTTGCTTATTTGACTCAGTGGGGACTCTCTTCAGCCAATGGGCACCATCATCTGATTTTTGCCTTGATTGGACTTTGCCAAAGACTAATTGACTGACTGGAATTTGAAGTTGCCCCTGAGTCTATTCACTGTTAACATGCTATATCCTGTAAGCGTGAGCTGATCTGCACTGGAATATACTCCTTTCACTAAGTTACAGCAATCCTTTGTTTTGTGAGAGGGATGCGAAAACCTGCGACTCCCTCCTTAGCTCAATGACTCGGGAGTTAATTTTTCCACTGCACATCTAGTAGCTAGTGGCAGCATAAATAGCAGGTGATACTAAGGTGTTTAACTTCATGTGGAGCAAAGGACTAGGAATCCTCCATCCTTTCCTAGGGGCCTGTTCCATTCCTTGGGTAATTTCGTACATTCTTTCCAGTCAAATAATTTTCTTTAGTTTTAGCCACTTTTTTTGTTTTTGAAACAAGCTGTATTTAAAAACTAGTTTTTTAGTACTATTTTTCCCCCAGTGTTCAGATTAGTTTCTGAATTCAGTGAAACCTGCTCTGCTCTCTTGAATGCCTGAGCCTTTTGGACTAAAACTTGACAAGGGAAATAAAAACAAAAGCTGGAACAGATAAATGCACAATCTTCAGAGTACAGATGTGTACACCCTTTGGCTGCAGAGAGGTAGCCATGCTTCAGGCATTTCGTCCTAGATGTTTGAGTTAGCTGTGAGCCCCCTCCACCCCCACTCCCCACCCCCCACTGGCACTTCCTTTGCCTTGCTTAAGGTTGCCATTGCATCAGTAAGCAGTCGGCTTTCACTCTAGAAAGATGGAACATACTCTTGCTCTTATTTTGACTACTTGCTTCTGAAGAGAGGGTGGTGGCATCTGTGTGTTACAGCCACATTATCCTTTGACTTTGAAACACCGCACTTGTAAAGATTTCTACTCTGTTAACCTGCCTCAGGTGTTAGCCTTTATAAGTAACAGCCCTGAATGGGATTGCCTTTTATTTTCTGAGGCATTTGGGTACGTGGGCATTAACACAAGGACAGCTGAACTAGATGGGGGAAGAGTGTTTTGGCCTTTTCCCTGTAAACACAGGGTCAGCTGATGCTTCCTAGAATCGCACCAAATAAGGTTGCTCAGTAGAATACAATATAAGCTTTTTAAACTTCCCTGAGGGGATTGGACGTAACTGAAGTTTGTGGGGTTATTTTAATTAAAAGTTAAAGAATTGTAGCATTTGCTAGTTTTATGATGGTCTCTCCTAGACTTGCCCAAGCTATTACAGATTCATTGCATCCTACTCTAAAGCAAGGTTTGGCAGTGTTGGAACTCCTCACCATGGACCAAACAGGCCTTTGGGATCATGAAGCTCTCAGAGGATAGAAGCTGCTGCAGGACTCTGGACCTCACAGAAGGCCAAGCAGGCACTATTTGAGATATGATACCAAAGCTGCCAGTGAGCCTGTTACATGTCACTTTCTATGTGTGTTTGACATCTTAGTTCATAACAATCTTTCATCCACGAAACTGGTGCCATTGCTTAATCCACGTCAAAAGTTGTTTGTCCTGTCTAATAATGATGCCTGACCGGGCTACTAATGAAATCCATGCTGCATGTCCATTTAGGGATTGTTAGGTCAGATTCTCTATGCATCTTGTCCAATGTTAAAGGAGAGAAACATACCAAAATAGTAAAACTGCTGAATGATATTTCCAGCCACCTGGAATTCTTACTCTGATTCCAAGCATCATTCTTGCATCTGTTGCAAGGGGATTACAGACAGGATTGGATTACTAGAACAATTACCTTCTTTTTAAATACTGTGAAGTCTTATTGGCAGGGTTAATGGAACTTCTGCTGGTATTGCTAGAGCTCATCAAGCCCTGTGCACTTCAGCAACCTGGCTGACCTAAAGGAATGACGTGCTCATAGCAGGGGCAGGGAGGGGGGCTGCAGACTTGTTTTTGAGATCTGTTCCCCCCCACCCCTGATCAGAAGAGACCTTTATCCTCTGCTAGTAGTAAAAGAGCCAGCTTGTGGGCTGAAGACATGCAGAAGCAGCTGTCAGGATTCAGTCTTGTACCTTGTGTGCTTGCTCACTTGAGGTTCATTTTCAAATTGCCATAAAGTGCTCACTAAAGGATTTGTATTTGCTGTGTCAGTCTAAAACCTGAAGGAAAATACATTTTTATTCTTTCTACTTGGACGCATTGTCTTTTTTTCTTTGTAAATGCAGTACAATAAACAGAATATTTAATAACCCATACATATTCCTGATATGTTGGCTCTGAATGAACAAAATTGGAGGGAGTATCCGTCTGGTGGTGGTTGTAGCTTGCAGCAGTAGGAGATGGGGTTCAGTCAATATTTAGTGTTAAGACCCTGGAAATCTGCCAAAGCATGTGATTGAGTATATATAGATATCATAAAACTGTTTGCTATAGATATTGTAAAGCTGTTTGCAAAAATCTTAACTTTTTCAGAAGATAAATAAGAAAACTTTTCTATAGTGAGTTTTCCCTCCAATTTGCCCTTTTTGTTGCTATATTTTCATTCAACTTCTATCTGCCTTCCTGAAGTGGGGAATCCTAATTAAGAAGCTTTTCAAAAAGGCTTTATTGTAACAAGCAACATTTGGAAGTTCAGTGTGCACCATTGCTAAGAATTGCCCTGATTTCTAGTCGCAAGAACAGTCCAATCCAAAGGAAAGTAGATATTAATGCATATCAATTTTGGATGTCAATCTGGTAGGACTGTTTGACATTTCAAAACCAAAAGAAATGTGCAGCCTCTTCAGGTTATATAGGAGAATTATACTGAAGACTCTAGCAGGCAGGTGATCGGTATGATGTGAATTGATGGTTCTATCAAATTAATTGAGTCCAGTGATCCACTGAGTGTGAGTGAGCTGACTTTGATTGATGCCATCTGTTCTAGTGAGAATTAAGTGAATTGTCTGCTGTGTCATGCTGGAGGCAGGCAGATTTGTGCCAGAAAGTCTTCCCTAGGAGAGAGTCTGCATTTATTGTGGCTCAGGATTGAGTAGAGGAGTTTTGGAACTGGTTGGGTTTTAAGGTCAGTCTTCACTGCATGCTATAATCCGGTTGTTAAACCAGTCCATCTACCAGTAAAATAATTCTGTCCTTTATGGGGACTTTCAAAAGACAACAATTGAGAATCTGTTCAAGGTTGCTTTAAAACTTGTCATCTAAAATAGATAAGACCACAGAAGAGGGAGCAGAGAAGAAATAGGTTTCTCAAGGAATCTAATACCGAATCAAAGCATTTAAAATATGCCTTTATTCAGCAGAATTTACAAAGAGAGTGACAGAAAATTAAAATCACTAACATTGTCCTGCCACACACTGGATAGTGTATTTGTAAAATGCTGTGGTTTTCCACTTCGCAGGGTATCTCCATCCAACTAAATTCTGAGTGGTGATCCTATAGCAGTCTCTTGCATAGCATTTCTGTGGGTCCTCTGTTTTCAAGAAAGTTTGTCATAAGAAAAGTTTTTTGTAAAAAAACTTAAGGAAAAAGAGCAAGTTTTGGATAGTTGCCTGGAGAGATTCTTGGCTTTTTTCCCCTGGGGAAAAAAGAGGAAAAAAAACATCAGCTTTGCAAAACTGTAGTCCTCAAAATAGTCTTAACTCTTTTTGGTGTAAGGAATTGAAAATGCCTTTGCTTCCTGGTGTCAGTTAAGTTAAAGCTGGTTTGTCTTGCACCTAATTGCATAAATTAAAGCTGGGGTGAACAAGATACAGCACACAGCTGTCATCTGGCCCACAGGAGCTTTGGCAGTAAGTGGCAATGTTAATAGCCGTGGCTCTTGGAGCCACGGCAACTAATGCTGCTGCCACTTGTCCTGCTGCCAAATTTCTGGAGTTTAAAGGGAGCCCTGTGGGTCAGCCTCACGCGGTGGATTGGGCCGGTGGAGCTGGATCAGTTAGGCACCACCATGTTAAACCAACCGGCATGACATAAATCAGTGCAACACCACTGACATTTCAGGAATCCCCACATGTAAATGACATGTAAAATACATGTGTAGTAAGTGTAGAAGTAAGTTCCATTGAGGTTGCTTACTGTGGCGTTCAGCTTCTTCATTCATTGACCTCTTCTGTAAAACAAAGAATTGTAATTATGTTAATAGCATAAAGGTATACAGGTCTCCCTCTCCAACCACTGGGGTTAGGTTCCTGAAAGTTCCCGTGGTTGGCAAGACAAAAGGCTTATGGGAAAATGGCAGGTGATGGGCTGATGCGCAGCCATGGAAAACCTTGGTTACTCAAAACTGCGTACCATGGTAGCCAAAATGGTATATAGAAAATTAAGTGTGGATACTCAAAACCATGGTTGGCAAAACTGTGGTTAGTGAGGGGAAACCTGTAATTGGGACAGGCAGGAGCGCTGGTTTCCCATGCCCATTTTCAAGAAAGAAGAGTCCATTTGGGGAGAGGGATCAACAAGAAGAGGCAGTGCCTTGTCCCACCCTGTGCTGCCTGGACATAGTCCTAGCTTCCAGCACTTGTTCAATAGATGGGAAAACCTGGAAATCCACTTGGGTATTATGAAATGGACAGTCGTTTGCAAAAGTACTGAACATGCTATTTCATAGTTTTGATATTGGAGGATTCGCCCTCTACCTGTAACAGAAAACCCAGGTGGGTCAAGCTTGATAAAGTGGTGGTACTGAGCTTATGAGTTCTTGGGATTTGTTTAGTTAATACCTTCCCTGGGTAAAATGAATAGGCTTGTTTCATGTGCAGTCTTGCCTGTGAGGCATCAGCTGACTATAACTTGGAAATCATCGTTCCCTGCCACTAAATTTCTAGATCATGGGGAGCCTCACTTTTGAGCACAACTGTTCGAGCAGGCGATTAGGCTGGTGGTGGTCATCCATTAGATAAGAAGCAGCCTAATGGTGATTTTTTTTTTGACTGCTCTTCTTGTTTGTATCCTTTGCCTTCCTTTTAGTTTTGTGGTAGTTTGCTGTAATGTGCACAAAATGTTGCATCTGGGACCAGTGGACCGAGTGATCATAGCAGGGCTTGGCTTTGTAGGGGATTGGGCATGCCCTTATAATGGGGTGGCAGATGCGACCAGAGAGAGCAAAGAGGCTCAGTTACCTTTACCATCAACTTTAAAGTCAGATGGGAGGAGATGGTCCTGTCGGTTCCCTAAAACAAAGGCCAGGAAGGAGAGGATGACGGCGTCAAGGATCCCAATGATGCAGAGGATGTAGGCCCAGCGTATGGTGCATGCCCCTATTGTGTATTTGTCTGTTTTTTCACCGCACATGCGCTTCACTTCACTGGAATCCCAACCATCTGGGTAGATTAGGCAACCTATCATCAGGCCCGTAGCTGCAAGGAGAGAAACACTGCTATTGTTGCAGGGCATACGATGGCACAGGATGCCAGTCCACCATAACTTGAATGGAGTGAGTACTTCAAACAGCTGCTGTGACTTGGCTCATATTCAATTAGTTCACTTCCCTTTCCACAACTTTTGATGAACAAGAATGGTCTCAGATAACTAATCCTGAGCATTTGCAGCATATTTTAGATTTTATGTGAAAATTTAGCTTTACAGGGATGGTTAATTAGTTTGGTCCTCACTGCCAGGGGCAGTACATACTGATGGCAGCAGCTTTACTGCTCAGCTTCAGTGTTGGATCTGGCCCTTGTTTGGAACAGAACCAAGGCTACCTGTGGGAGCAATTGCTCATAGGCATACAAGCACCAGTTCAACGAATGCGCTGCAGGCTATATGAAAGCCCAAGTCATTACCAGAATAAACTTGAGAAAAGCCAATTAAACAGCTGTGCTTCAGTTTTACATGGATGGTGAGATGGAGAAGATGGTCTCTTGTCAAGTTCCTTGACTGGAAGGTACTGATCAAAGCTTCCTAGATCCTACCCTTAACAAAAGAAGCATGCTTCCCAGTCTAGAGTTTGTGCTAAATGTGATTACTAGAATATTGGAGTTGTGATCTCAGACTCTTGCTGCTACAATTAGGTAATTCAGGACACCTGAACTACCTATCCAATTAATCCTTCCCTCCATAGCATTTTACAATAAGAAATGCTTTGCATTTCTCAGGTGAAAATGCTAGTATTCCATTGAATTGGGTATTATCTTTCTCCTGTCTTAGAGGTTAAAAATATGAGGAAAAATCCACAACCCTAAGACAAAGGTTGTCAGTGGTCTGTCAAGAAAAAAAAGTTAGTACAAGACAATTGCACTCTTTCAGGACTAGTATTGTTCACGTGAGTGCACCTTGCTAAAACCTTATGATACATGACCAGGGGCTTGTCTAAACCTGTCATGTGTTACAGATAAAGTAGTATATCCTCTTCCCACAGTGCTGACAGTCATAAATATAAAGCTTACTAGTATAGTTCTTCCACGAGAAGGAGAATATACCAGGCCTGTGTAAGGCACTTCTTACATCCGTATAACTGCATGCCTAATTCGGGATTTTATAGTTTAAGGATTCTGCTTTTTTAAATAATTGCATCCCTATCCAAAATAGTTACGTTGGTGCTATGTTGTTATAGTAGGCTTAATATTTTCATTATAACCTGTGATCTGTGAATGCACATACCTTAAACCAAGACAGCACTACTACAAATAAAAGGTAAAGAAGGGGAAATCCATAATGGCTGTTGCATGTAACCGTTTCTGGCAGAGTGAGCTCTGTAGCCAAGAGCATGGTTCTCTCCCAAAGAGGAAATGCTGTGTAATCTTCCATTAACCTTGTTGCCTTGGCAACATCCTTTCACTCCTACATGAATATGCAATGCTGACCTGTTAACAACATGACTAAGAACTGTTCTGGGAACCGTCCTGGAGGAGTCCTCCGAACAGCTGGAAACCAGTTTGAATTGGGATCGTTCGATCAGTAGAGGTTTGTATTACTGTTTGTTTGCTAAAATCTGCTCAGGGGTATATATATGTGAAGTCAACAGACTTGTACCCAGATTAGTTTAGGCCTATTCAGCTGAAGGGTTTCCAGTTACAACTCCAAGTTATCAATTGCTATAAGCACTTATAGATCCGGTCCCCCTAGG